ATAACCAGATAATCAGCGTTATTCACTTCATTTGTCAGTGCTCACAATGTTATGGATGATCGGTGGATATATTGGTATATTGCAGCTATATCAGTATATATTAAAAAAAAGTGGTGTCACTGCAAAGTTTAACCAGCAGAGTGAGCTGTGATTTACAATACTGTGGCAAGCAGCGCAGAGTAAGAGAGAAGAAGCATCTCTCAGAAAGGGGGAATGCATTATGTCAATGATGGTCCTCACCTGTAGAGAGAGACAAATTATAGTGAGTATGAGAGAGAAATTATTAATCTTGTATTGCAGTAACACCAGGGCTTGTGAATAAGTAAACTGAAGTACAATGTATATTATTTATTGACACTAAGTATGCATGGCCTAGCAGTCACATAACACTGGCTTCCTCACTGGTGAACAAAATGGGGTTCAGTGTGCAGTTAACGTGCAGTTACATGTAGTTTTTATGTTGAACAGCACTGACATCTGGTGGACTACATAGTGAATCAACATGTTGTGTATTTATCATAGAACTTTACAGTTGTTCTCAGTTGCTTTGGCACAGAATATAGATGTTTCACAGTGGTTAATCAGGAGCATCCTCATCCTGTTTTTGTCTAATTTAGTTTACAGGTGCAACGCCTCTGTTACTCAAACAAGGTGTGTCCATGGTTCCTGAATATGAACCAGGCATGACATGACATGAGAGAGGGCCAGCAGCCCATACACATACAACATGTAAAATATTTATAAGTACACCACATGTGACATGTTTAGTCTGAGTTAGAAGTGGATACAGAGACAGAGGGAGGACAGAACCTCCAGCCACACATCTCAATGATATAGTGAAAGTTTCAGCAAATATGACAGAAAATGTTTTTATTAAAATTACCTATTGCAGCGTTAAAGTATCAACCAACCAGGCAAAGCAGGTAACTGTGTGTCAACTGCTTGTTCTAATTTCAGCGGAAATGTGTTTGGTAGATTGCAGCCTTAAGTTAGGTCTTGCTTTTTTACTGCACCTTGAGGCCATGTTTTGAAGAGGGCCCTTGTATCAAAATGTCACTACTTAATTTTTGTGCTTACTCTGTTGCATATTCCTAAAATGATTAGTTTAATTTAAAGGACCAGTGTGTAGAATGTTGTAGCATCTAGCAGTGAAGTTGCATATTGCAACTAAACGAACACCACTCGCATCTGTATTTGTCAACCTGCGACTCTACTCTGTTTGGTTCGTTTGGAGGCCCATTTCTGCTAATGTGATGGGGAAAAAAGGGATTCTATAAGTCATTATAACAAGAAACTTTCTGAAAAAATTTACATAGCATCTCAAAATAGTGATTGTAGGCTACTACGGATGTTCTACCAGTCTGTAGGGGCCAGTGTCATCTTCTTTGCTGTGGTGTGCTGGGGAGGAGGCATCAGGACTTGTTGTGTCAACAAACAGAGCAAGCTGGTGAGGAAAGGCCAGCTCGGTGGTGGGGATGGAGCTGGACAGTGTGGAGGCTGTGACTGAAAAGAGGATGAGAGGGAAGCTGAAAGATATCAGGGACAACCACTCTCACCCTCTCTACACTGAGCTCAGGCAGCTCAGGCAGCTCAGGAGCACTTTCAGCCAAAGACTGATCCAGCCCCGAGCCTCAAAGCAGTTTGGAGGCTCATTTTTAGTAAGTCAATATTTTGAGAAAGTTTCTCATTATGACTTACAGAATCCTTTTTTTCCCTGTCACATTGGCAATAATGGGCTTCCACAGGTTTGTCTCTTCTTGGTTACTGTAGAAACATGGTGATTCAATATGACTGACTTTGTAGAAGAGGAATTCTGTTATCTCAACTGGCTTGAAAATTAGTGCATAGAGCAGTAAATGGGAAATAATCTCCCCAGGGGAGTGTGCCCTTGGAGTGCCTAGGTTTACAACATCTGCTAATAGCAAAACTAAAATATTACCCATTTTTCTGAGGTCCCCTTGGAACTCCCTCAAAGAGCCCTGATGGTTCCCGGACCCTAGGTTGAGAACCACTGATGTGGGTCATTGACCTAGTGAAGGCCCATAAGAACTAACTACCAGGGCTTATTCAATTAAAACTAAGACAGATAAAGGACTCAGGTCTGACATACCAAAATTAGCTCCATAAAGACACAAAAATTAGAAGTACATTAAATATGCCGTTATTCAGATGTTAATTAATTAAAATATAGTAAAATATTCGTTCATATGTCCTCTCTCTGTCTGGTTTTAACCCACTTCCACAACATGGTCCCACTGGCCGGACTCTACAATGTAGGCCATCCTCCTCCAACGGACGTTACTTTACGTATAACGTCTGACGTCAACGCGTCAGCTGGCCGAATGTTTACATCCAGCACTGGTGTGTTTCCGACAGGATCCCCCAACAACAAAAGGCTGAACAGAAGGAAAGCACTAAGCCAGAGAATATCAGTCGGCATTTCTCCAAGGTACAACATTATCTTTATCACAATTTAATATGGCGGCTCAGTGAAAGCCAGCGCTTTGTGTCGACACCAGCAGCAGCTAGCTGTTGTCGTTCCTGTCTCGATATTTCTTCTCTCCCAGCGAAGAATGCGGTTATTTCTGTTTGTGTCGACCTTCACACGGCATGACAGCCTGTTACAGATGTAATGTGTAGTTTACTTGTATATGCTGGCTGACTGTTGGACTGAGAGAGCTTGAACTGTAGCGTTTATTCGAAAGTGTAGCACCTGAGTGGCGCAAATAGCAACCGCAGCAACGTGCAGCGGCGGGGATGTATGCGGTGAAATGAGCCCCGCTGGAGTCACAGGTCTTAGCTGTGACTTTTGACTATCCCCAAGAGCGGTTGGAATGAAAGAGTGGACGTGTGAGCTACTTCACTGAATCTGCGAACGAATGGCGAACCCCGAACAGTAGTGTTTTGCTGGAAGCGTGTACCCCACTAGCCTACTAAACCACTTAACTCTAGTTTGTTAGAGAACGGCTTACAGCGCCCTCTGGTGCTCATTTGTGCTAACAACATAAAGAAGCAGTTTGTATTCATTTCAGTCTGGATCCTCCTTCCTACTGCTGGGCAGGATGACAAAAACATTGTATCACGGTACTTTTTTTATAAGGTTCTGGCGGTTTCACGGTTTTATCATGGTATTTATTTATTTTTGCATGGCTGGGGCTATATATTGGTTTACAGTGGCATATCAGAATCACAGATACCTTATTGATTAGGGTTGTGTACTGCAACAATCTAGTGATACACCTTGTATCACAGTAATGGATTAAAATATGTGCATTATATTACAATATATAACAATAATATATATAGAAAATATATCAAATAATAGTGTGTAAAATATGTACATTATACCACAGTATATAACATTAATTGAAAATGAGGCATTCCAAATATTTATAGTGCAGTAGTGATATGTGTAATGAATGTATACTAATGATGGGTATTATGATGCTGAGAACTGGATCCCTGAATAAGTGTTCTATTGTCAGGAGTACATTTTAAGATCACCATGTGTATATTCAGGATTGGGAGGGTTACTTTAAAAATTGATCCAATTAATAATTACCTGTTAAATGTAGTTGGTAACCTAATCCAAGATATTCAATAATTGTTTCTTTTTTGTTACTGATAATTCTGTTACATGTAATCTGATACTGCCCAGCCCTGTATGTACTGAATGCTTTGAATACTACAGGGTTTTCTTGCCTCCACAAAACGCTATGGTATATGAAGGAATGAGAATATAAACAACTTTCATTGCTGCAAATGAGTAAAAATCAGAACTTATTAATAAAAAAAGATATGCCAGTAACTTTTGTAACAAAATATTTTAAGATAGTTGTATAAACTGACATAAATACTCAATTTAAAAGATATTTCTCAAATGTTCTATTGCACTAGTAAGAAACAAATGAGTTACAGCTGTTATTTCAACTATGCACTGGTATGGCGATATATTATGCGACTACATTTCATATGAGAAAATAAATCCCGACACTACATGTGAAAACATGTATTTATTTTGGTGCAACAGCTACTGTTTGTTCCTTTATTAGTTCAGTGCCTGACAACATCCTCTTCAACTCTTCAGTGGCATCAAAGGCTGGAGTCCTGTAATATTTAAATGCACATGCTCCTTTGTTCTTTTATAGCCTCATGACTGTGGCCAGCATTTGGCAGCCAGTGCACCCTGTGATCTCCTGTCCTTTGGCTTTGCCCTCTGGTGTTGTTTTTAACAGCACCCTGACCCAGCAGCAGCATTCACACCTACAGTTGTATTCTGCTGCCAAAAGCTTCAATTAGGCCTCTAAATGTGGTTGGCTCAGGCTCACCTGTGCACAGAGTCTCAAAGAGCTTAGCAGTGGATGTATTTTGAATCAATGATCACAACTTTGTGCTGTCAAATCATGTACTGGCAGGTTGGGATCGTCTAGGAGTTTATCCAAGTTGTGCACATTTGAGACTAGTAATGTACCCTTCCATGCTTGAGGGATTTTATTTGTCAATGAAATAATTCCAAAACATTTAATCACAATGGCCTTAACCCAGGGGTGGATTTAGAGGTGTGGCTAAAAAATACCTGGCCAACCCAGTTTGGTGTCAATGATGTCAAATTTAACACATTCATTCAGATTCATTTATAAATAACATGTTAAAACACAAATTTACAACTTTAATTGAAAGATCTCTTATGGCAACATTTTAGACTCACTGATAGGCTTAAGTTCAATGAAAAAAAACATGTATTTGTAAGAATGTGTGAAGATTTGCAAATAAAACAATGTATTGATTTCTAACTCCACCTTTAGACATTTATATTCAGTGCTTTACTCATGTGCAACAATAATGTTTTTGAGTTCAATTATCTTCATTTGTGGGCTTTTCCAAGCAGATATTGATATATGTGATTGTTTGTGATTAAATGTATTTCTCCCAGCCCTTAAAGCTGCAGTAGGTACCTTTCTCTTGCTGAAACTTTCACTATATCCTGACAGTAATTCATGGGACAGATAAGCTGTTCTTTTTGGCTCCTCCTAGTAAAATACAGTCAAATATATAATGAAGTTATCACAGAAGGACATACTTGTAAAAACAGTTTTTTATGAATGTGAAATATGAAATTTTAGGGCTTAGACTACTGATTGTTTTCAGTGTTGAACATTCTGCTGATTACTTTTTCAATTAATCGATTTATCAATAAAATAAAAGTTAAAGGATCAGTGCGTAAGGTTTATTGGCATCTAGTGTAGTTTCAGATTGCAACTCCGTTGCTTCCCCCTACCCTTCCAAGTATGTAGTATAAACTACGATGGCCGCAAAGTGAGCGCAAAAACAACCTATCTAGAGTCAGTGTTTGGTTTGTCCATCCTGGGCTACTGTGGAAACATTGTGTCTTAACATGGTGGACTCCATCGAAGGAGACCTGTAGCATCTGTAAATATAAAAGGCTAAGGTAACAGAAACACAATGATTCTTATTTTATTTTCAGGTGATTATCCATTAATGAAAACGTCTATGAATATTTTATTCCATTTCTGACAATAGATCCTCCTAAATGTTGCACAGTGGAACTTTAAATGCAGATTACAATTCCTCAGAGCCCACACCGATGTCTTCATATTGCTTATTTTGTACAACCAACAGTCAAAAGGCCAAAGATATGATTTACTAGGAAAATCAGCATGTCCTCACATTTGAGAAGCTTGGAGCAGAGAATGAAGACATATTATATTTCTTATTTATAATCGTTTCAGAAGTGGTTGCTTATGAATATGAGGATTGTGGGAGTTGTACCACTTAGGTGTGAAGATGACTTCTATATTTAAAACCTTTTATTTTAAATACAGAAGTATAGAATTTTGTCTACCCTGAAGTCTCCCATCTACAGAAATTGAAAAAAAAAGTAAAGTTACATGTTCATCATATTATCATGTGGGATCATAAACTTTCTCTTTGCCCTCAGTCAAGATGGGTGGAGCTGTGAGTGCCGGTGAGGACAACGACGACTTGATTGACAACCTGAAGGAGGCCTACTACATCCGCTCAGACCTGGTGGAGCGGGCTTTTCGAGCCATTGACCGGGCTGACTATTACCTGGACGAATATAGGGATAATGCTTACAAGGTGAGCAACATGGAAGTGTGTGGAATTCCCCAAACAGGGTCCAAAGAAACTCAGAGAATACACGATAACACTGATATTTATCATGTTTTTTTAAGTTTCAAGAGTTCGATTTATCGTTGTTGTCGTTAGGATTTGGCATGGCGGCATGGAAACATCCATCTGTCTGCTCCGTGTATCTACTCTGAGGTGATGGAGGCCTTGGATCTCCACCCCGGCCTCTCCTTCCTCAACCTTGGCAGTGGGACTGGCTACCTCAGCACCATGGTTGGCCTCATACTGGGTGCGTGGTTAACTGCAGCAATTCAGAACGCATGTCTTTATTATTGTTCTGGTATCTCAGAGTAAACATATTAGCAGCATGAAGGCCATCAGCAACGCACCAAGCATGAAATGGTTCCAGTGAAGCAATCCTGCAGGGCTGATCCAGTGTGCTAACTCCCAACTGCAACATGCCTGGATGGATGTAAAATAAGTCTTGAATTGCATTCATAATGGTCTTAATAAGGTGTTTAAATTAATTAAACTTAATTAAAACCTGACATGCACAAACCATAAAGCATAGTCTACCATGTCACTCCCCACCTTCTGCTATGCTGCGATTGGTGTTTCCTAGTGGGTACTGACAAAGTCGGACACCAAATATCACCGCTGTGCATATTCTACATTCACATAAAAATCTATTATTATAACTCATCTGGTAGAGCATTGGCTGAGTCCTTACCGCAGTGGCCCGGGTTTGATTCCAACCTGCTGCCCTTTGCTGCGCGTCGCCCCCCCCCCCTTTCCTCCCTTTCCTGTTTATCTTTATCTGTCCTATCAAATAATATAGGGATAAAAAGCCCCAAAAATATATTTTTCTTCAATAATATATATATAAGTTGTCAAAAGCAGGGTTACTAAGTGCTTGTTAATAAAAGCATTCAGCAGGAAATATTAAACAGTAAGAAACAACATCAGTAACGTTAGAAAAGCAAGTTAAGATCAACTGAAAGTTGCTATATGGACACAGTGACTGACGACAGTTTTCAAATATACTCAAGTGATCGATAGGTAATAATTAAAATGTAATACTGCATTATAACACTGAAGTAATGTGCTCGCTATGTTTTGTCTTTGTTCAAAGATGGGCTGTTGCAGTTTGGCTGAGCTTAATTCTGAGAGTAGACTGGATTAGCAAAAAAGTATTAGGACTGTCCATTGGCAAGAATATGGCAATACAAGACATATCACGATACAGGGGTTACAAATCAGTATATTGCAATACTGTAAGCAAGGTGATATATTGCGTTTTAAAAAATATATAATTACAGGATAACTGTCCTAGTATAAAGAACACCCCATCTGATGATACAACAGTATCACGATACAGGGGTTACAGTTCAGTGTATTTCTATATATTGCGATACTGTAAGAAACTTTGATGGTATAAAGAACAAACCACCATATGCAAGAAATCTGAGTTAAAAAAATGTACTGGTGAGAATCTGGTGATACGATACGTATCATGATACAAGGGTTACAATTCAATACTGTACACAAGCTGATATATTGTTTTGTTTTTTATAATCTGAATTTAGGAAAACTTTCATTGTTTAAAGAACACACCGCCATATGTATAAAGTCTTAATTAAAAAAGTATACTTTTTTATGCAACCATAACAGCGGGATTTGCATTTGTCCTTGTAACATCCAACATCACAGCCCTCAGTTTATGTTCACTACTTACGTTCTAGCAATTGGGGGTTTAAACAAAAAATCAATAGTGGTTTTGTGAATCTATACAATATCACAAAACAAAATATTGTGATACTCAAGTGTATCCATAGAAATGTATTTCTCAGTCATTTCAAAAGATATATGTATATGTATGTCTGGAATATAAAGATATTTGGGGAAACCATGGTTGCTCAAGTTTCTTAATATAAATGCAAAAATCTAGAGGGTGTATAACTATGCAGCTAACATTTAAAGAAATGTGATTAAAGCCTTGGACACATTACATGACTTGAGTTGTCAGATCTATGTACTGTTCACACTACACAACTTTCAGTCTTGTAACTGGGAGTTTTCACACTACATGACTGGTCAGCAACAGGGGGTCACACTCTGACTGGTTTCCAAACTAAGTTTCATCAGGAGTCATTAATAATGCCATTAATAATAAGCACTTCATGTATAATTAGCAAAAAAAGTTTTTAAAAAACTTTCACTAAGGGCAACCATTACAGCATACTGCTGTAACAAACTGAGTAAAATCAGCTGATAATTGGCCTGATCAGCCAGCATCAGTAATCAATACACACATTATTAAATCATTGATCAAACTCATAATTAACAGTAGGTAACGTCAGACAACATGATCACACTTTAGCAGTTAGCTAGTGTTTCTGTAGTGGTGACTAAACGTTAAGAATTATACCTAGTATCAGTTTGAACTGATACACTAAAAGCTCCCTGCACCAAAATCCCTTTAAGAAATTTCACATTTGAACAATTCCTTACCTGTCCGTAAAAACACGTTACCCTAGAAACACGATCAAAAAGGCATCATATGTCGACAGTCTTCTTGTCAAATCGGCATCAACATAATCCATAAAGATCGTAAAGAGCGGTATTCTGTACAAAGTGTACATTTTGTTTCGATGTTCTGAATGGCCTAATGGCCTTCATAATCATAAACACATACTGCATACTTGTGTTGAATGACATTATATCCATATGTTTTTGTCCATGTAAATGTGGTTCATGGTGTGCTAACTGTTCCAGGACCATTTGGAGTGAATCATGGAATAGAGTTACATGCCGATGTAATTGAGTATGCCTACCAGAAGCTCGACTCCTTTATCAAAACCAGCGACAGCTTTGACAAGTAGGTGTCCAAATGTGTCGGTGACATTCGATTGTGTATCACATTTATTTTTCTCTTGTTCTCTTTCTCACTGTACATTGTTCTCCTTCGCTTCTGTGTCTCTTCTCAGGTTTGAGTTCTGTGAGCCGTCCTTTGTTGTGGGGAACTGCCTGGAGATCCCCCCAGAGAGCCGTCAGTATGACAGGGTGTACTGTGGGGCCGGGGTGCAGAAGGAGCATGAGGATTACATGAAGAACCTGCTCAAGTTAGGGGGCATCCTCGTGATGCCTCTGGAGGAAAAGGTTTGTGTTTTCACAGAGAAACCGAGATAGTTCAAATCTGTGTATTTGCCTTCTCATTTTGCATAGGTATTTTATAAGCAGCTATAAACTTTGAACAAATGGTTTACAACACATTATGATGTAGTTGTAGGCAAGTGTTTATTAATGTAATTATTGAAAACTATAAGTCTTCTATGGACACCAATGAGTGGAAGCTGATGTATAAATAGATAATAGAATGGTTGTAATAATAGAAAATGTCTTTATAGGAGTCAAGTTATAACTGCTGACAAACATGAACATTACATAAAAAATGTCATTTATATCTCCTTACAATTATATTAGTGTGTTTCCAACCATTGATTTAATGAAATGTTTTATATCACTGTCATCTTCTTGTCCATAATTATTCATGTGTATCTGTGTCTTAGTATCTTCTTCTTTGATTGATATTATATTGTATGCAAAGCACTTAAAATAATCCCAAAGATTTTCAATATTTCTGAAACATGAATGATTTGTGCCTTCAAAAATATTACAGTATAGCACATTAACACACATTGTAAACACTACACTTTAGGCTATTCAAAGAAAGCAGCTTGTTTTAAGTTGCCAAATTAAAGCTGCATTAGGTAACTTTTATAAAAATAACTATTTGTCATATTTGCTGAAACTTTCACTACATCCTGACAGTAGTACACAGGACTGATAATCTGTGAAAAAATCAGGCTCCTCTGGCTCCTCCTAGTGCTCCTAATGGTATTTGCAAGAATCCACCGGGCCTGAGCGAAACCAACCAATGTACTGCAGCTTTACATCAGCTGAGAAAACAATACTACACAGACAAAAACAAAAAAAACAACAACTTCACCCTGCTGTATTTTCTGCAGTTGACCAAGATCACACGTACAGGGCCAAACAGCTGGGAGACCAAAAAGATCATTTCTGTGTCCTTTGCTCCTCTGGTGCTGCCTAAACACAGCACAAATGGCAAACCCAAGACTGTCCCACTACGTGAGTCTCCTTTGTTTAAATTCGAAAATACAAATAAGTATGAATATTGATACAATAATATGAAAAGTATGAATATTGATATCAGTATGTTATGTCTAATTGACCTTTCTTAAGCTCCAATAAAGTGCTGCAGGAATGAGTCCTAAAATCCAGGACTCCTTGAAGTCAGTAGATACCCCACCTGTGCAACATCTTGCCAGTGTATAATAAGAAGACCATCAGTGATAAAAGTCAGGATCTAGTTGAAAATTTATTGAATGAAACATCAGGGTAATCTATTTTGTGTGTGATGTGAATATTCACTCTGGCATTACGTACCAGACTAGTTACCTAATTTTGACAACATAGACAATTCTTCCATTGAATCATACAGACACTTGGTTTAGCAACCACACTTTTTTAAAGACATGTAAAAGCTTCAAAATGC